TGGCGGTGGCGGTGGCGGTGGAGGCAGTGGTGGTAGGATGCGGCGGTGATTCTCAAAATCAGCTGCACACTCTGCTTGAGGGGGACTGCTGTTCGAGACCTAGAGCATGATGTGAATTGCACAGACCCACACCACATAGGGGTGGTTTTGGTTCTCTCTCGTTCCCTTTATTCATCTCTGCAAGTCCGCCCTGAGAATCCCTCCCGTTCCGTCAACAGTCCCCCTTAAGTAGATAGAATATGGCTTTGGGTACATTATAATAACATCCCCGTATACTCCATATTCTATCTACTTAAGGAGGACTATAATTGTATGTTGTCTTCCGTGGCAATTCCGGTGGCTTTTCTGCACGAGTCCGTATATTGCTATATATTCATTATCCCCAAGACCCAACGAAACCCAAAGCCAGCCGCCAGGGTGCAACTATATACATGTATACATGTATATCATATACGTATATGAGCCATAGTCTAAACTCCTAGTATACCCCTTAAAAACCCCAATAGTAGTCCCCTATATAATCCCCTATATAACCCCTTTAAGGAGTTTAGACTATAGCTCATATGACATTTTGCTGTAACCGCCATCCATGCAAGCATGCCTGGTCGGGCAGGAAGCCGGATGCCCAGCATAATGCTGCATATCCTTAGCTCCCACGGTTGAAACCTGCGTGACTTTACTGGGTTGCTGTTAAGGAACTTAAATTAAGTTACTACATTGGGGAAACCCTATTATTTACTATATATACCCATTATGGTAACTTAGTAGTTTAAGTTCCTTAACAGCAACCCAGTTTAGGTACCCTAAACGCTGGGTATTGAGGTCGTGAAGGAATTTGTACTAGTAGCAGTAGAGGTACCTCAAGGCTAACACGGGATATATAGGGATACGCGAGGACTAGGGCAGTCCCGTTTCAGGACGTCACAGCGGCTAATTTGAGAACTTCCGAGGCGCTGAACCTTAAATGAAACAACCCCAAATCCAAAAACCTTAAACCTTAAACCCTGGTCCATGGTCAGTCTTGAGGACCAACAGCACGGCTCGTGGCACAAGTGGGGCATCTAAGCCAAGAGTCCCAAGCAGCCAGTGACCGCAGTTAGAGCCGCCGGGACCCACACCGGCTCATTCATGGTTTTGGAATGAAAGCTGGGAAGTGTCTTGCAAGGCTCCGTAAGATTTAGTGCTTCAGCTTTTGAGATCCATAGCTCCGGCTTGAGCACGGGAGGATTAGTAGCTTTAGATGCCTATGGTGATGCAGAGCAGCATGCTGAGAACCAAGTCCTTGCTGTTACTTTCATGTCAGTACACCTTCTCGCGCATCTTGGAGGGGGGGAGCAGTTTAAGGCTAAAAGTCTCATGTGCTTACAGCTCTAGCTTTTGATTTGGCTTTGGGCTTTGCTTGTGCCGGGCCGTGTTCCAGCTGTCCTACCAAGGCTCTAAGGCCGAAGACCTGCAGCGAGCATAACTGGGGTTTAGGGTTTAGGGTCTACTGACTCCGTATGGGGATTATATAGAGGGTATGCAGGTATATGTAGATACATAGATAGATAGATAGATAGCTAGATAGATAGATAGATAAATAAATATATATACATATGTATATATATATATACGTACGGCACATAGTATACGGCTTGGTTAGGTCAACTAATCCATGCTGAGCCCCGGTGTTCCATGTTCGTGTGGAGCAGGGTAGAGTTTAGAAGTCTCTCGCCTGAGAGTTGTAGGGTTGTTTTTTGGGCTTAGCGGCGTAGAGTTTGGCTAAAAAAACCATATGATCAAGGTTGCGCGCGCACTATTGGGGATAGACTTAGCAAAGCGCCTACTATGCCTTTATATAGAGATTTTGGTCCATAATTAACTCATTTTTCCCAGGAATACTCTAGACATGACTTCAGGTTCCTCTTCGACTGCGTGCCGAAGCTAGGGCCCTTAGCGGGGTTTAGGGTTTAGGAATCCCTTCAAAGACCCCAAAATGGGAAACAAGACCCTCCCAGTACCGTACCCTCAATTAGGGGTAAACTGCACTAATACTGGGCACTTGAGCCTTAATAGAGGGTAGGTGAGCAGCTAGGTGGAGGGTCTGGGAAATACGTTGGTCGTGACAGTTGCGGGCCATGGCGGCAAAACCGTTTATCATGGGCTGCTGCGTTCTGAAAGCCAGCTGCCAAGATACTAGGACGGCCGCTATACTACAGCCATCAAGGCAACTTAATCTTGTCGGAAATGGTTAAACGTGAAAGCAGGGAAAAGAGGTGGATGGAGGATCCACTGCCACTGCCGCACCATCTTTTTGCTCGTCGGCTGGCTATCCAGACTGTTCGATCCCACGGGCGCCAACTTCCATATGCTTTGGATTGTTGGAGCGCAGCATGGCCGGATTGACGAAACTCACCTGGGCTGCGCTTCAAGATCCCTGAGATCATGTATGAGCGGATCCCCTTGAAAGTTCCCAAGACAGTTGCTAAGCATCCGAGATTGCCACTTAGCCACCGCGAATTGATTCACGGGAAACCCGCCGCGAGTGTGTACCAGAGGCTCGTCGCAAAGCTTCGTGCAAGCTGCCGCCGGATTCCAGCCTGAGGTGATCAATACCATAACAACTTCTACTAATATTGCAAGACCCTCCTAGTACCTTTTTAGTGGGCACTTAGGTCTAGACTCATATGATATCATTTCAAAGTGCGATCGCGGACATGATGGCTGCTGATCTTGGTACTGTTAGGATACATGACCAACATCAACAGCCGATTTTCTCAAGCGTTGGGCGGTGGATGTAGCCTGCAGAAGCTTCCGCGTGTAGACTTGAAGGTTAGAGCCACTAAGAAGTTTTGTACGCCAGATATCCGGGGCAATGATGTAATGCAATGGATGCTGTCATACCATAAGCGAGTGAGCGAAGCTGCCTATCATTGAAACAGCTGTCCTACTCGGAGAAATCCAGTACTCCAACAAACCCGGCTTCCATCCCCTTACAATCAATACCGGCAAATGCAGTGCCAGTTCGCATTACGGGGAATATTCTAGGGGTGAAATTTATTGTGATCGCAAGGAAACCTTGCGCATTGGTCTCCACGTTGCTGCCCACCGTCAGGAACGTAGCAGCCAGCTTCTCAAAGATCCCGACCTCACTCAGTGCAGCTCCCTGAAGGGTTGAAGTATATAGGGATCCTAAGGATTACTTAGTGATTATGTAGGGGCATAATATAAGGGTTATATAGGGATAATGGAAAAGATCATGGAAACTACTGCAACGGGGTTACATTGGCTTAGGGGTCCTGGAGCAGCCCCAACTATGGTTCAAGCTTCATCCCCTCCCATAATTGAAAACATCTCCTGCGCACCTTAAATTATCAAGGTTCTCCGCATATGGAACTGTACTACGATCTGACTGTAGGGGGGGTGCTTCTTTATTGCGAACTAGCTGGCTGGTAGTACAAACCTCTAATAGCGAAGCTCGCTGGTCCGTGCCCTGAACCTCACTCAAAACAACCGGGACAGCCAATCAACCACCGGGAATGTTGCCCTGACCCCTAAACCCTAAAACCCTGAACCCTAAAACCCTAAACCCTGAACCCTAAAACCCTAAATCATAGAAATGCTTTTGCAAACCTAGTTGCTCAGCTCCTTGGCTTGAAGATTCTATAGTTCAAGGCCCTGAAACTCCATGAGACTCCCAACTCGAACATCCCGCATCCCCAAATTTTGTCCTAATAGGACTAGGTACTGATGTTGCTAAGCGATAAAGGATTTGTGGAGCAGAGGCTGCTACTCAAAGGGGTTAAGTGGGAACTACTAGATGGATACATGCCTTCATTTCCTGTACACCGCCAATATGGCTGTGAAATATTCGTTTCCTTGAGAAAATGTGTACGGGGAATGCCAATTTTTGAAAGCTACTAGAAAAACATGAACGGAACCCTTTTGCAGTTCCTGAGAATCCGCATTACTAATCATTGTTCCCTTCCTCCATGCACTGCTCACCACCAACGCATCCGCGTTCTTAGGAGGGAATAAGGGAAGATATGACACAGGCATTGTATAGGGTTTAGGGTTGAGGGTATATTCCCTTGTTCCCTACTAAGAAGCAGTAAGAGTAGGCACGCCCACCTCGCGTCTCACGACCTCCTCCATGCTGCCCCGATGTTTCGGGGCTTCGGATGCAGCGCCAAAGCCAAAGTGGACCTGGAGAATGTGGGGTAATCTTACTGGCTCTTAGTAGCGAGTAGGGATTATGGGAATGAAAATGGAGGCCACTATTTAGAGTTTGGTGTTTAGGGTTTAGGGATTAAAGGAATATACTACATAGGGATTATATCACCTTGTCCCCTACTGAGAGCCAGAAAGTAATTCATCAAAGTTCCTGTCCCCAAAATGGCCATTATGGAGCATGATTGACCCTATTTTCCCTACTGACCTACAGGATCCATCAGTAATTCCGTAAACGGACCTTTAGATCAGCTGAGGGTAGGTTAGGGGCTGTAAGATTTAGGGTTGGGGATAGAGAGAGGAAGTTCTCCAAAAAAGGGTCCAATAGTCTAGGATAAACTCGGGATGAAAGAGGACTTTAGTGGTACTTTGTGGAATTCTATAGAAGGTTGTGACGTCAGCTACCTTCTTCTCGCAATATTCTGCCGCAGGGCACCCTCCGCCTCGAGGACTCGTTATGCTCAGCAACATGAATCCTGTCTGCCTAGGGAAGATAACTCCAACCCTGAACCCTGAACCCTACGCCCCTAAACCCTAGTCCCTCAACCCATGCGAATTTGCGGGTCAGAACTTCACTCAGAACCCCAGCTGGCAGCCTGAATTCAATTGCCCAAAATCCATGAACCCTAAACGCTAACACCTAAAACCTAAACTCTAGCTAGCCCATAAGTGTTGATGAGCACGGCCTCCATGTCCAGGGTTCGGATCTTTGCAAGGTCTGTAGCATTGGCCAGCAGGGCCTCCAACACCGTCCACTCAGAGCCTTCCACAGGAATGCATAGGCTGGGCACGCGATAGTAACAGCATCGTCGTTGTGCGCATACGTACTAATACTACTGCCAGCAGTAATCTTTCTAGTACTTGCAGCATAACCATCACGACAATCGCTACTACTACTCCTACTACTTGCGTCGCTGCATTTAACTGATTGGAAGGAAGAGGAGAAAGGGAAGCGGCAGGAGTAGCAGCAGCAGCAGCAGCAAAAGGCGCAGTGGGACAGGAGGTCTGGCAAAGACAAGAACTTCGGGCTGAACAGCATCGCCTCAACACTCGGAGGAACCCAGATTGGACTCAGCCTAACGGAATGATGATATAAAGTGCTGCAAATAGACAGCTTTAATAAGATTGCTGATGATGATCCAACTGCCGGCTGAATGCGCGAGCCTTCCACATCCATCTTCACGTGAACAGACAGGGGGGCGCGTCCCCGTAACAAGTCATTCAGCGTGGTGTACCTTGGTGACGCGACTCTGTCTTGTACTTTTGCATCGGCTGACCACTAATTAAACAAAGCTAAAGCAAACAAAAACAAGGGAAACAGATCCCCAATCAGGATCCACAGTGGGGTTCTCCAAAAAAAGACAAGCCACCTTCTTCCCTCCAGCATCACGTCATCTGGTCCCAGGCAAATGCGAAAGGCTTCGTAGGCTGTTTCCTGGGGTCTTCTCAAGATAGGGGGGCAATGAAAACATGAAGGCTTCGCAGGGCATTTGCCAGGTGCTTTTGCAAAGCTCACCCCAACAGCAGCATGGCTCTGTCAAGCACGATTGTGCTGCTCTAGATTCTTATGGCATCACCTCGAAATAGGATCCCCCCTGCAAATACCGGCTTCAGGAAAACGGGGCCATACCGTCTCCGGTTTCGGTTAGTGGTGTTGAAAGGTCAAGGCTTCAAAGGGAGCCTGTACAGCCACTCGGGTGTGAGATGGCCCTTAGAAAGTTGTGGGCGCCTGAGGATTCCACTTGCCAACCGTCTTGCAAAACTCCTAAAAGACTGTGCCAAAATCTGCAAGCATACTCCCCAGTCATCTGGAAAGAAACGCCCAAACGTTTACAATGATACTCTTTCATGAATGAACCAGAGAGTTTCAGATCCTTTCCACGAGCCTCTATATGACTCTATACGGGATGGACTCGGAGTAGCCCTCAGCATGTGTCATGTGATGCACACACACACACAGAGTATGGCGAGGTCTGGCAAAACATCATGACACGCCCAGCACTCCGTCCTCTCACCATCAGAAACCAGCACACCTAGGTGTGCAGGTTCCACTTCCTTTTCCATGTTTTTGTCCATTTGATGCTGTCTGAGCGGGGTCATAAATAATATCACTCTGGGATCCCTCAGCCCTTGGAATAATTTTCCGCAATGATCAGCCTGGACCCAATTCCCTTCAACAGACCAGACGCCTCAAGCTCAGGGTGGGAAGCTTCCATAAATCGGCCGGCCTTATATAGTAATTATGCTATGATCCTTGTTGTGGGACTCCCTTTCGGGGTAGCCTAGAAACCCTTTTTTACCGTGACCTGGCGGAGGGTCATAACAATGCGACTGCACTCCTTCACAGGATCCCGCAGCATTGGGCGCCGACATAGACAGTGGTGGCGACTTTTTCGGATCCTTGCAAAGCAGCGGCTCGTAGCGGGAGAAATGGTAGTTTCCCTAAATAGGGAGACCCCAATACAGACCCCGAAATACTACCGTCCTTATGATTGGGACCCACAGAAAGGTACCCCTAATTTTGAGAAACTCCCAAGTGAAGATAAGCGGTGCATCTCTAAATCTGGGAGTCTATGCGGTGGGTCCTTCTTGGACGGATTCCTAGAACTTGCGTTGCTGTAAGGACGAACCGTGCTTTGAGACATAGCCACACAAAGGATTCTGTATCGTTGGTCAACGGCTTCGCGAACCTTAGGATATAGGAGGCCGCCGGCCCGTGGAGAGAGCTGTTCCCTTACACTGCCTAATCTGTGAATTCGATACCATAGGCAGTTGTAGGCAGCAACTGACTTGAGGACTATGTGGCCTAGACCCGAAAACCGCTTCCTGAAAGCAGTCGTAGAGCTTCGTTGGCATGTGGAAGACATTGCTCATGGTCTCCTGGGCTCCAAATGCAACATGACTGGGGAATCATCCATTCTAATCAAGCATGAGCATATACCAAGCAAGAATAAAGATCATCAAGCCGGTTCCAATCAACCTAAAGTTCCGCCAAAGCTACTATGGTTGACAATTACGCTGCGGCATAACCATGCTATGCTAAAATGCTACAATGCTCGAGGTATGCTGTGTTTCGGTCATCTAGTTTTTTACTATCAACAGTCAACAGTAGTACCGGGACTTCCGTGCCGGCTCCAGATTCGCTCCAGAGGTCGCGCTCCTCAATGCCGAAGGAGAGGCCTAAAGGGAACAAGGTTAAGCGTTGTAGAGTTTAAGGCTTCGAGTTTGGGTTTTAGGGCGCAGCGTCTCGGGCCTACACTGCAGGATCTAGGCTCAAAGTAGACGCTGTCATGAATGTCAGGAGAAACCAAACAGCGCTGGCAATGCTAATGTGAATGCAAGTAGAAAATATGTAATAATGCTCACACACCAGACTAACAAGAGTTCTTACTTTCACCCTATATTCCTGCATTAGCGCTTGATGGTTTAACCCCAAACTCTAGCCCCTTCCAATCCTGAACAATATAATCCTATGTTATAACCCTATTGTTGTTTTGCAGTTTCTATCTTCTTTTCCATTATCCCTATATAACCCCAATATTACCCCCCCCAACCCCTAAACTTGATATAACCCTATTATACAATAGTAGTTTTCATTTTCTTTTCCATATATATATATATATGTACCCTATAATCCCTATATAACCCCAATATATACCCTATAATCCCTGAACCCAACAGTGCTTTCAAGATGTCGGAGGCACCCTGGAGGCCATTGGGCACGTCCTCAAAGGCGGCCAGGCACCAGGCAGAATCTCCGAAGAGCTTGAAACCTCGCGGAGCCCGGTGGAAGGTGTAGAGTGTGGGATTGAGGGTTTGGAGTTTGGGAATAACGGTTCAGGATTCAGGGTTTATACAATACAGAATCAAGGGGTTTGGGATTGGAATTAAGGATAACAAGTTCAGGGTTTGGGATGAAGGGTCTCGGATTTCTGTATCTAAATTGGGTGAATGCTGATTGCGGGAGGCTAAGCTTTCCCCCCAAGGCTAAGTTGGGTTTGTCAGGGGCTGTTCTGCGGGAGTGGAAATGCTTTAACAGCCTTTTCAAATAGCTGACCATGCAGAAGGTTCATTCGCAGGTGTTTCGGTTCCTGGTGCTTTTCTGCTTCGATTGCTGGAACCTAGCATCGCGTCTGCACACGCTGGTTGTAGGAAACACTTTGACATAGACGGCGACCTCAACCTCCAGCAATGTTGAAGGCACGTGCCGAATTGGAAAGATTCCGGGCCAGCCGAAGCCGATTTTTTCGGGTGCTAGATGATTGTTTTGGCTCATCTGCGAATTCCCTCGAACCTGCTGCGTTTCCAGAGTGTGCTGTGAATCGGCGGTTCAATCTAACCTAGAATGATCCTCGAAGGCTCCTACATGGGGGGTTCCCAAAATTAGGGGTCCCCTTTTTGGTGGTCTTCATAATAAGGATTATAGTATATTGGGGTCTATATTGGGGTCCCCTTATTTAGGGAAACTACCACATGATGCCCGCATGTAACTGGTATTTTACTGTTTGGCATCATCGTCCGCAGCTGCGAAAGCTTGAAGTGAGACACGAGGGTGACGCTGCTTTGCAGTGAGCCCATCGCTGGAAACATTGTGCTCCATAGCCTATGGAGCATTTATAGCGTCGGATCGACTTACACATGGCTACCATCACGCCCGTTCCTCAAACACTTACTATAGTGCCTTGCCTGGTCGCATGGCTGTCTTGCAGCAAGAAGGGTTGCCTTTGCTTTTGCCCAATTCACTGCATCTTCCGTTGGCAACAGCAAGTGCGTCTTGCGATGACCTATCAAAAACAGAATGACCTGCTCCATGCAGTCCACAATTGAGTCGGCCACTGTGGTCAAGATGAACGGCTCTTGCGGAGCTCCAGCCCGTGCATACAGGAAGATGCCGACAAAAGCAAGCAGGGCCTGTGGAATATCCTCCAACAATTGCAATAGGGACCAGGAGCTGCCCTTTTCAACAAACACCGGCTTCTGCCATGCGATCAAGTAAAGGCTACAGGCAGACAGTAGCACAGTCGGAGCAAAACACAAGGACCAAAGCAGAGGCAGAACGTTCCAGGAGCTCAGCACCACACTCATATCAGATTTGAAGTCAAGCATGTGGGAGACGACATCGAATAACCACGTCAACGACACACCTGCGTCCTGGGCTGTTCCCTCATGCTGCGGTTCCTGATCTTGCTGCTTCTCGATGTGGTGCAACCTACGCAGCAACTTGAATGCATGCCATACCCACTTCAAGCAGAAGGCAGGTAGCACGTAATAATTCAATTCAAAGGTATTGCATCATCATAGCCATAAACCGGAAGGCACAGCAGCACGGCTCGGTCCAAGTGGAAGCTCCCAACACTTTTCAACTTGTCGATGAGGAAGGGCAGTGCCATCAAGATCACAAGCGAGCACAAAGGCACGAATGCGCATAACAGCACTGATGCTGCTGCAACCAGAAGCAAAATGATGGCCACAAACGAAACTGCAATTAGCGCCACAACGGCCGCAGTCACAAGTGGTATGACAATTAATGCAAGCAAGAGCGAGAAAAGGCACTTAGTCATTCGTTCAGAAACATCCGCCCAACTTTTCAAGGGTCCTTCGAGCCAGCTCTCGGCCAGATCCCTGCGCACGACCATAAGCATCACCCCAACAGGCACAATTACTACAAAGCATGCAAGACAAAACCACGTACCGCATTCCAGTAAGATTGCCCCCTCCGCCCTCAGAATCATCACAGTCATCGGTATGGTCTTGCGAACAAACGCCCGGACCTGCCTCCAGCTAATGCTCACTAGTTCAGATGTCAAGTGCCAAACAAACGCTGAAGGCCTCGGAGATCATGTCACACACATTCTTTACGGTAATCATCGGTCCCGTTGCTCGCATACTCTCACAGGTTTCATTGCTGGGTGCCAGTGGCTCATCTTGATTGAAACTGGCGAAGCATGTCAACATCCCAAAGGCACTAGCATTCTGAGCGCGGGCTGTGGTCAGCACAGCTCCAATCACCAAGAGAGCGCGCAGCATGAGGAAGGAGGAGTTGCTGAGAAGGCTTGTTCTTTGAAGCCACAACTGCGGCGGACTCTGCTTTTGGATTTAAAGCACATGGATGGGGAACCGCTTCGATTTCGGTATGGAATGCAGCCATGGAAAGCCCGTTGCTAAAGCACACCTAGTCCATCTGTCGTCTCCGTGACTCTGCACGAAGATGGGCACTCCTCAGTAATACCACAAGTCCACACCCAAAAACCTTGAAGCTTACCCCACCAAAACCTCGAACTCAAAGCCGCGGAAATCCCTGAGCCCTGAAAAATTGCTGGGTGTTAGTCGGGCATAAGGGAATTGAATATATTCTATAGGTTATTGGACGTGAATTCCTTTATTCCCTACAAAGAACCAGTAAGTTAACTGGATCCCAGCTGCCCTTGCAAGCATCTGCAGACGCGCGGGGGGAGGGAGTGGCAGACTTCACCTGGAGCTGAGGCCCTTCCATGCGGTTTAGGGTTTATAGGGTCCAAGGGAGAGGCAAGATGTTTTAATGTTTTCCCACTAATATTTTAAAGGGCTCCCCCCTAGTAAGGGGTGCCTAAAATTGGGGGAAAGGGATGAGCAACTTCAATGCAGGAAGAGAACATTCCCCTTTGTGAGCCTTGCATTTCAATCAGAACATGAAAGGAGTCCATTTCCCGAAACCCTAAACCCTTCAAAAGAGGAGTGTATGTAGTCATTGAAGATTGATGGACTGGCCTACAAGGCTCCGGGTCTGAGACTTTTGAATTTGAGCTTGGCTGCTTATTAGGGTGTTGTTGGGGTTATGTATTGGGATAATGGAAGAGAAAATGGAAACTACAGGGGTTATATAGGGGCTCTATAGGGATTATAGGGGTTACAGGGGGTATATCTTGGGGTTATGTATTGGCATAATGCAAACGAAAATAGAAACGACGAAAGTAGGAGCTACAGGGATTATATAGGGGTTCTATATCGTTTATAAGGGTTATATAGGGTATATATTGGGGTTATGTTGGGATCATGGAAGAGCAAAGAGAAACTACTATAGTATAAGGTATATGTAGGGGTTGACTAGTTCTTCATGACTCAGGCTTCGATGCCTCGAACTCACTCCCCAATGATAAGCCGTCGAGCAGTCTCAAGACCCGAAGCCCAACCCCTTCATAAGAGGAGGCACTCTACAAAAAGCAGCCTGGTCACAATGCGCTCGCCCAGGTCTTCTGCCCATGGTGTCTGAGTTTTGTAGGGCCAGGAATCCTGAGCAGGCCACAGGACAGCTACCAACTTATGGGAATTTCCTTCAACAGGGTGTGGGTAAACACCCCAGGGATATGTGGTGTTGTGTCCTGTGTCAACAGCCCAAACAGCCCACCTCCCCGTATGATCACTTTACTTAGGCGCATGCTGAAACTTTTGGCGGAAAAGTATTCAATGTAGGCAGGGCGTTCCCTGCCGGCAGGTCCCTCGACTGCGAATGCCCACATGAGCATCATAGATAACACCCGGGGTGGAAGGAATAATGATGAGGATTCCACTTGGTGGATTGCAGGTACAATCGTCGGTACAATTTTCTCTGGGGGTAAGAGCTGTACTATATCTTGGTGTAAAGGTTTGGGGGTATATTCAGAGAGGCCCTCTGATATGGGCCGGCAAAAGACGATATGCAGACATCTGCATAGGAATGTCTCATACTTAGCCCCTCGTAGTCCACTGACAAGAGGTACGGATGTCCCCCAAAAAGCTCTTACTTACATTCTTAGTTCATTGCTTCCGAGCCAGGCCAGATGCTGCTGTTTGATGGTCGAATTTAAGGCCTGTGCTGCCCGCAGTTCCCACAAAACTTTGCATAAGCGCCGCAAACTTCACTCGCAACTGTAGTATATGCTGACTTCGATATATCCGCCACCATCGACCAGATGTTCATGTCACTATGTGATGCATCTTGGCTATCGTGTTACCATAACTCATCACACGGCTGGTAGGTTGTCAAGATTTATGGCCCCTTTTGGGTTCCCATTGAACCGCACCTACTATTTAGAGCACCCAAAATAGGACCAGAATTTTGGCAACGCAACACACACACACACATATATATATATACACACAATGCACATTGGAACCCCAGATCTTGATAAACCACGGTATAATCCCTAGTTCTATTTGATCTTCCATTTCATACTCTGTTATTGACCGAAACCCTAAACCTCTACATATATATATATACATATATATATATGTACCTATATCCCCATAGAAACATAGATATCCATACATGACTCTGGAATCTCAATTGTGCTTCTCCGCCAGGCGGCAGCAACCGGAAGGCAGGGCACAGCAGTTCGCGACGACTGTGGGCATTCAGGTAGGCAAAGAGGTTGGCCTGGATCCCGAAAGGAAAGCTAAATAAATATGGGTACTGCAATATAGGGGCGAAGGTTTTGTGGGCTTAGGGTTGAGCGCTTAGGGTGTATAGGCTTAGCTACGGGCTTCGGTTGGAGGTGTAGGGCTTCATTTCTCCAAATTTAGGGCACGAGGCTCGAACTTAACGAGTTTCGAAGGTGTTGCGGACGTGGGGTTTGTGGCATCACACAAATAACTTTGCAGCTTCTTGGAGACACAATTTCGAAGCAAGATTTGCTTACATGTGGCTTGCCTTCCGCGGGCTACCGTGGCCCGCGTCGAACTACGATTATGGACGTGTAGTCAGCCACCATCTTGTGCAGTGGGGTTTCCTGACGAGCAGACGGTACTATAGAATAGCACAAAAATGTGGAAAATCAAATGGGACCAGAACATTGGCCATACTCTATGCCCTGCCAGAAGTCTCGACATCCCCTAAACTCTAAACTCTAAACCGTAGGGATTGGAGGAACGGATCCCTGCCCCAGCTCATTCTTGTGCCCGGAATCCAAAAAAGCAAATTCCTCAACCCGGAATCGCGATAAGTGGGGGTTTCCCAGAACCCAGGGGTACCTTTTTTAGGGGTCCCCAAGCTTTTTGGGGTCTATATTGGGATCCCCCTATTTTGGGAAACTACCAAGTGGCAGTGCCCTCGGCGCAGCAATGCCCCGGAGGAGTGAACCTGCGCCCCGTTGCAGGCTGACAGGCACAGGGGCCACCTGGATGGCTTCAGGGGTTTAGGATTGAGGTCAAGGGTTGAGGGTTTTAGGGTTTAGGGTTTTAGGGTTTAGGTTTTAGGGTTCAGGGTCAAGGGCTTAAGGTTTTAGGGTTTAGGTCAAGGGTTGAGGGCAGGGTGGTTGGGGTGGAGAGGCTGGGGTAAGGGGTGATGGAACAGGGATGTGCTCGAGGGTTTGATAGTTTGGTGGGCACTTCTGATATGTGCCAATACTGCTAGTTCTCCTGTACATCGGAGAGAGGTTCGAAGCCAATGACAGCATCCTGCAAGCACATCGTCTGTTTAGGAATGAGCATGCGCGGTTCTACTTTGTCTTAAGAAGGAAGAGTAGATTCCTCGTACACAAGCACAAGTTCAAGGGAACTGAAGTCCTCAGTGCTGTTTGGAGGAGTGCACCTCCTACAACAGCAACTACATGCAACTAGCAACTTGATCAAACTCCTGAACTCTCGATCTGTGTGTTCCGGGACTTCAATTGCATTGTCAGGATTCTCTGAACACGGGTTTTGCTAGATCTTGGAGGGTTGGCTATCTGCTGAGAGTCAAAGTTCCCTCCGCACACCTTCCCTGACAACACAAGACGAGTGGGATGAGTAGTCACAGGATGATGTTGGAGTTTTGCGCCACAAGCTTTGTAAAACGGCAGGAGCAGGGAAGATAAGATTTATCTGCAGAAGAGGGTCCGGATGTAGAGTCTTTGTAGCGTAAGATGCGCCTACCAAGGAGAGGCCTTTGCACGAACAGCTCAAACAGACAGTGATGTCATATGAACCATAGTCTAAACTCCTAGTAGCCCCCGTAATAACCCACAGAATACTCCCCTATATACTCCCCTTTAAGGAGTTTAGACTATAGCTCATATAAGACATAAGACAGGTCCCTTTCTGCAAGTTGGCTCTACAAGGAGCCCCTCTTCTGAACATGATTCGGTTTAGGGTTTAGGGTCTAGGAGTCTGTGGTAATCTGATGTTCAACAAGATGCTTGAAATTCAAGGTGGGGTAAATCAAACTCATGTCTTGCGTCAGACGAACAGGATAGGGATCCTAAGCAACTCTACATCTTGCTCCACCATCCCCATGTTCCATTCTTCTATCAAAGGAGGAACATTAGCAAGTACGAAAACATGTTTTCCCTAAGCGTCCCTACAAAAAAAACAAGGTGTAACCATCCCAAGAAGCCTAAATCATCACGCGGAAACCCCTGTTGGATCCCAAAAACTCACTTGAAAGCTGGGACTTTCTCGGAACGACGCGACCTAGGACCCCAGGGAAACCCAAGTACATCTTGGCATGTGTGGATGACAGAGGTCTTTCTTGGGACTCTATAAGGTTTACTTGAAGAACCCTAAACCCTAAAACCCTAAACCCTAAAACCCTAAACCAATCGTTGAATATCATGCCAGGCACAACCTG